GAGAGAGAGAGAGAGAGAGAGAGAGAGAGAGAGAGAGAGAGAGAGAGAGAGAGAGAGAGAGAGAGAGAGAGAGAGAGGAGGGGGACAACTGCCGCAAGAGGGAGAGGGAGAGAGGAGTGTCGCAGGGAGCGTGCAGCGGAGCGGAGCGGCGGCGTTGCTTCGACGAAGCTGGAGCAGCAGGGGAGCGCGTGCGACGATGGCGGCGAATTGGCACGCACGGCCCCGAATGACGCTGTTGGATTTTTAATTCAACGGCGTTAAACGCGTTAAACGTGATTCAACGCGTTCGAACGATGTTTAATGCTATTGAACGCGTGGGCCCGCCGTGCGTTCGCGGTAGTTGGGCCACGTGCACGCGGGTTTTTGGTTGCGGGGAGACGGTAGGGGAAAGCGGGGACCCTGCGGCGGGCGGCGGTCAAGGAGGGTTGGATTGCAGGGGGGGGCGGGGGGGGCGGTTACTGGGGTGCGAGGGAGTTGGGAGAAGGGGGACCCTGCAGCGGGCAGCGGTCGACGGGGGTTGGGTTGCAGCGGTGCGCTCGGGGGGAGTCAGCGAGGGTTGTCTCGCCAGGGTGGTCGACATGGGGAGGGCACAGCGCCGCTAGCACGAGTCTGCCCCAGACCATGTGCAAGACACATTCAGGGCCCCCTCCCCTATGTATCGATACCTGGTTGTCGGCCAAAAGGTCGACAACAAGGGGGTCATGATCCTCCGTTGCACGTTTTGCAACAAAGTTTTCCAAGAGACCCAGTTTCAGGCCACGAGGCACTTCACACAGACAAACTACTGCAAGGACATCAACGATGAGGCATTGTAGGAGATCGCGGGACGAACTCAACAGAAGTTCAAGGCCGATCAGACGGAGAGGGTTGCCAGGTATGCAGCGGAGCGCGGACTCGATGTGCCCGGCACGAGTGGTGCAAGGGGAGGAGAGGCGAAACGGCGTCCGGTAGAGGGAGGGGTCGGGGGAGATGGTGGGCATGATGCCCCAAACCACCCGTTGCGCGGTGGAGGTGGTGACACGAAGGAGGGCGTGATCCACGTCGATCGCGATGCGCGTGGCCCAGGCGAGGAGGGAGTCCCGGAACACGAGGACGTGTCATAGTTTTATCAAGGCACTGGGGAGAGGATGGAAAACTAGCGAAGGCGAGCACCGAAGGGAGCTGCAACGGAGGGGTCTTCCAAGAGGAAGGAAGGAGGAACTGATCCGACTGCCACACAAGCGGGAAAGAGGCTTCGCCAGCAGAAGGTGACTGATGTCTACAGTGGCGAGTGGGTTGCTCGCCACAATAAGGCATTCCTTCGCTGGCTCTATTCCAGCGGGGTCTCCTTCAATGCCTTCCGCAACCAGGCTTGGAAGGCATATCAACAGGTGCTTCTTGAGCAGCCTTGCAGTTCCCTGCGCGCTGTGCTTCCCAACCACAGCGAGATTGCGAGTATGCGGGCGGTGGAGACCCACCGTGCAGAGCTGGCGGAGGAGTTAAGGGAGGTGAGGCAGCCATTCTGTGTGACTGGTGCCACCCTCCTCTCAGATGGGAGGAAATCACTAGACGGGAGATCGATCGTGAATTTCCTTGCCGCTGGCTCGCGAGGGGTCATCGTGTACACGACGATCAATCGAGAGGGCGAGTCGGACGATGCAGTGCACGTGCTTCGGAAATGGGTTACCATCTTCCACGAGTTCAGCTTCGGCGGCCCGCAGCGGGTCAATGCGATATGCACTGACTCCGCTTCTGCATTGGCCTCGCCGTTTATGCCTCTTGCACTGAGAAGGATCACTTGGCTCCCGTGCTCCGTCCATGTCTGCAACAAATTGTTGTCAGACATGGGGACGAGTTGTGACGCGTTTGTAGACGCGATCACACACGCTCGTGTGCTGGTGGTGTTTTTCAAAACCCACCAGGCCGCCCTTCATTTTTTTAGGACGCGCAGCCCCAACAAGGGGCTTATTCTTTCTTGCGAGACGCGGTTCACATCTGTTTATTCCATGTCGGAGAGGCTGTTGGCCCTGCAGGACACTTTGCAGGACATGATGCAAGGAGATGACGCGCGGGCTTTTGCTTCCATCCCGTGGTCCGTTGACGTGTGTGTCATGGCGCGTTGGGTACGTCGACAGATCAGATGGGATCCATGGTGGCAGAGGGTGGCCACCATTGTCCATATCATGCAGCCCGTCATAAAGTTGCTTAGGCGGATGGATCGTGGAGGACAGTACATGTCCCTGATGATCGAGTGGACACAGGATCTTGTCCGCCGTGTCACGGACGCATGCGCCCCTTTGGGAAAGTCGTTCGCCAATCGGATCATCGAGCGTGTGCAAGCTCGCACACAGCACATGCTTGAGCCGACTCACTGCGCAGGGTTCTTACTGAACCCCCGCAGGTGACACGTTCGCTACTTTTCAGGTGAGGTTAATCGGTACCATGCTTGGCTTGTGGGGCAAGCCAAGAGGTACATTCTGACGCAGACGGGTTTTGAGTTGGACGGTGCGGACTACATCCTTGCATGTCGGCAGTTTGAGGACTTCCACATTCAGCAGGGCAGGTTCGGGGATTGGGGCAGGGCGGAGGGGCGTGCTCGTGGGCGCGCGTGCAGCGACGACGACGAGTCGATTAGTGTGCGTCTTGGTGATCTCAGTTTGGGGCGGGCGTGCCAGAGTTGCAGCGGTGCGCTCTTCGGGTGATGCACATGTGGTCTTGCACCTCTCCAGCGGAGAGGAGATGGGCAGTCCAGAGGGGCGTGCTCG